CTTTTCCAACAATTCAATGTCTTTCTTGAGGAAATGAGCCCAAATCTGTATACAGTACTCTAAATGAGTCCTTACAAGTGATCTATACAGTGCAACAATAATATCCCTTGTCTTGTATTCAATATTTCTATAGATGCTACACAAAATCCTATTAGCCCTACTGTTAGCTACAATAGACTGTTCAGATGATTTAAATGATTTTTCGATCACAACATCAAGATCTTTTTGTTCAACCACAATATTTAAGGTATTCCCATTTAAATTGTAACAATAATTTGAATTGTGAAAACCTACATGCAGCATCTTACATTTTGGATAGTTAAACATCATTTGCCACATATTGGGCCATTGCATCAAATGATCTAAATCTCCCTGTAAGTCTGCAGCATCTTTGATACAGTTAGCCACCACAAAAATCTTAATGTCACCTGCAAACTTCAAAATTTTGATAGTCATTCCAAAGTGAACATCATTAGTAAAAACCACAAACACCAGAGGACCCAGCACAGAGCCCTGAGGCACACCACTTGTAACAGTGATCTGGTCAGATCTAACTCCATTTATTACTGCTCTCCATTTTCTACTCTCCAGCCAATTTTATATCCAATTTAATAACATTTCCCCTACACCTACAGATTTAATTTTTGTAAAAAGTATTTTGTGAGGTACCTTATCACATTTTCTGAAAATGAAGGCTATGTTTAACTGTAGGTTTAACTTCACAAACGTTTCAACATGAATGTTATAACTAATCCTAATAAAACTTACTTGTAAAATTTCCTAACTAATTAGTGAATAAGATTAACTTCAACAATAAACAGATACACTAACTCTCACCATCTGATTACCACAAACACTGAACTGAATATCTCACTGATTCACACAGTAATACACTAATTTACACAGTCATTTTTATATCATTACTCATTTTCTCCTTACTATAGAAAACTTCTTTACTTTCATAAATTTTCTATATTACATCATAACATGCTTCCTCTACCAACAAACATTTAAATTAAAATATTGCTCACAACATTACATTTTAACTTAGAAACATGGTCCATGTCATCAAATATATATAACTTGAACTCAACATAATCAGTTGAAACATATAATAAATACATGAAAAAGTTCTAATTTCACTGAATCTCAATTATTTTAATGCAATACATCTAACTTACAAAAATCACATAATGTAATATTTCTCTATCCTCTGCATACCTGACTGATAAGCCTACACAGTCTTCATGTAATCATAAGCCCAGTAACAATTTAGGTCACTCCCATCTATTAAAATAACCTACTGCACAAGTTGAGGACTTACTCTAGGATCACAATAAAACATATCAATGAGATCCCAAAGTAAAATTTGAAGCTCTAATCATCATGCAGATGATGGCAATCTCTGCTGGAAGGCAGACAAATGTAAAATGTCAATGAATATAATTATGAACTTCAGTAAAATTAAGTTATAAACACTGATAAAGTTATGCAATACTGCAAAGTTACAGATCTTCACTCACATGCATTTTTTGAAGGTTTAACTACAAGAAACTTAGCCCTGACCAAATGATAGGAACTCTCTACTGTACAAATGCAGTGACGATCGTAACATCAAAAACACAGGAAACAACCTAAATCCAAATATTGTTAACTACCACTAAACCAAATAATTACAATTTTGTTCATGGAAAAGGCTTAATTAGATCACAGTGTGAACTCCCCACTCTGGTGTTAACTACTAAAAAAACAAAATCACTTGCTCTGTAAATTGTGTAATGTAACATTTGTGATATTCCTCATTGCAAAATCAATAAGCAAGAAAGTAAATGGAGAATCGTATTTAGAAACCAATGGACAGATGCCACAGTACTGAATAACTGAGCTTCAACACTAAGGTTGAAATGACTGATATTTAGGGGGGGGTATTTGAATGTGGTTTCACAACTTCAGCATGGGAGGGTGTCCTAATAATTTCCAACAGGAAAGTATTTTATTATTCGTTTCTAACCACTTGTTCTAGACATAACTAAGTTTACAATGGGAGGGGGGCGAGAACATAATAATTGTAGTTCACTTTAACCTTTTACTTTTTGTGTATTCCCAACACATGTCCGACAAATGCAATGAATATGCTTGCTGTCGCAATGTTATGAGAAATTTTACTTACAGTGAAGTTACATTTATATTGATGAAACGAGAAAATTTTGATTGTATAGCTAATTACTAAGAATAAGATTACGCCAATAAAGAAGTGATAAAAAAATGTGATAATTAATCACTATTTATTGTCAACTGATCAAAAAATAAATCTTACTTAAAAGTTAAATAGTGTCTGCAATCCATACATCTAACAGTAACAGTCAGAGACGCCTAGCGCTACGGTTTCAATTTTTGATGATACAAGCATTAAGTAGATAAAACATATTTAAATGCATCAAGTCATTTCATAACATTTCCAAATGTACAAAACAACATGAAAAAATATTTTTAATTCTTAATTTTACTAGTTTTAACTCTGGCGGTCTTGACTCGCACTACGAGTCGTAGCCCTTACAATTACTACAGTCGGAATATCAAAGAGTGAAACGCTGCATGCTGAACTTGACTTGTTGTACTATTTTTTCTAAAAGCGCCTCAAAGCCAACTCTTATTATTAACATCTAGTTTGATTTCTTTAATCACAAGAGTTTATTTTATTCTGACATCTTCTTAGTCGTTTTGGTCAGTAGTTTCATTACATTCCTAATTCATATAATTAGTTATATGTCGGAAATTACCAACACTAATCTTATGGACCTCTGTAAAACGCTGTTCTATACTATATGGTATTTGATCCTACATACACTACCAAAACGACAACAAATATTTCAATAAACAACTTAAATGCGTCGAAGTTTATATGTGAATACTGTCTTTTATCTTCAGAAAGTTCTCAATACAAATGTTAAGGTCACAAACAATGAAATTTGCAGAAAGTTTAATTTCTAGAAATTTATTAATATTTTTACAGTATTGTTGCGTGTGCGAGTCACGTGACTACTGTGACGCAACGTTTCTAGAACTATCATGTATTTTGGCGAATGCTCTAGTAATTACTAGATATAGGGTACGCTGGTATATATAAGAGGGGACAACGTGACGCGGGAGAGTAATGTGTGTATGGGGAGTGAGTAATTGAACTGCAGTCACAGGGTATTGTTGAAGTTAACGTTC